AGTGCGCACATGATGAATTTGTATGGTGTTAGTATGAATGCGTTTTTAATCTCCTATGTACGCCTTGGGCCCATGCTGTGGGGAGAGGCGGGATACAAATGCTCTTATTATTATTATCAATCATTGACAATCATTGAACAAGCTAGATACAATCATTGAACAATCATTGAACAAGCTAGATACAGACAGGTGAACTAGGTTGATACAGCCTAATTGTGTTGCAAGTGCTGTAAAACTCTATAAAAATGTTTTTTCCCCTTTCTGTTGTCAGACCCTGAGCCCTACTGGTTGTCCGGGAACTGGAGCAAAGGTGAAAGCAGACTGTATCTGAGTTGTATACCTCTGGGCAGAGCGTACTAGAGAGTTGTATACCAGACTGTACCTGATATTCGTGTGAGCGTCGGTGATAGTCGCATCGTGTGAGCGTCGGCGCGATGTCGGATGGTGTGGTGACCACCTTTGTCCTGGCCCTCAAGGCTCTGGCCTGCGTCTACGACCTGGTCACATGGCTCCCCTTCTTCATCGTCCAGCGGCCAGACGTGGCCCGGGCCAAGTCCAACAGGCTCAAGGTCAGTCCGTGTGTGGGGGGACTGTGTGGGGATATGTGTGTGGGGGCTATGTGTGGGGTGTATGGGGCAATGTGTGGGGCCGGTGTGTAGGGAGTTGGGCACTGCTGAGTTCTTCGTTTGAGTAGATTCCCAGATAACAGATCCCATGGGTTCCCCCGGGGTAGTGCCACTGATTGTAGTGTCTTTAGGCCATTCCCTAAGGGGGGACATTTCTCGTTCAAGCACAGTAGAATTGTAAATGGGCTGACTCATGTCACGCTCATAACTGTGCCTGATCTACAACAGGGAACTGCTGCTTCTTCTTTTCTGATCCTTACTATTGTCATTTTCCTCTACTTCTTTTGTATGTTTGTCACTCTCTTGTGACCTGCTATTTCCGGGGTTCCTTGATAGTCGAAGCAGACTTTGTGCTGGTGAAGCTAGAGAGGTGAGCAGTCTAAGTTTGATTCCCTGAAAAGACTTCTCTGTTGACACCCACCCCTTGGCGCTCATATGACCTTATGCAGTTGCGAGCGCCGTAATACCCTCTACTAATATTAAAACTAACTATCTGTCCTCCTTTTTTGTGTTTGTTACTCTCTTGTAACACCTCTAATCTTCGGCACTTTTATGACCGTATTTTGTAGCGAGTGCCGAAAAACCACTACTGAACAAAAACCTGTTTCCCGTAGGCGGCACCGGTGAACGGCCAGGCATCGGACCCCTGGCGATCAGTGGACGTCCCTCCATCTGGACTGACCACGGCTATGTTCCCCGGTTGTGAGACGCTGTATGACCTGTTTGCCCGCGCCTGTCGTTTGTACGGCAGCCGGCCGTGTCTGGGCACGCGCGAGGTGCTGTCTGAGGAGGAGGAGAGGCAGCCCAACGGGAAAGTCTTCAAAAAGGTGGGTCAGTTGTGACGTTTGTGTCTGTTGTGACGTCTGTCTATTGTGTCGTCTGTGTCTCTTGTGACGTCTGTGTCTGTTGTGACGTCTGTCTAGGTGTGTGGCAAGTACATCTGGATGAGCTACAGCGACGTGGCCATTAGTTCCCCCCATGACCTAGTTCCCCCCCCCCATGTGTCCCCCCCATGACCTAGTTCCCCCCTGTGTCCCCCCGTGACCTAGTTTCCCCCTGTATCCCCCCAGCTGGTGTGTGGCAAGTACATCTGGATGAGCTATGACGACGTGGCCACCCATGTAGACAACCTGGCGAGCGGCCTGTTTGCCCTGGGCCAGAAGCCCGGCTGTAAGATCGTGGTGTTTGCCGAGACCCGCGCCGAGTGGATGATCGCAGCACAAGCCTGCTTCAAGAACAACTTCCCACGTGAGACCCGCAACACTTGTCTCCTACCCCACTGGCCGAAGTATCTTTTGGCCGTTCCCAAAGGGGGGACATTAACATGTTCTTATGCACAGGAGAATTGTAAATGGGCTGATTTATCAATGTCATGCTCATACTGTGCTGGTACAACATAGGCGGAACTGATGCTTTTTCTTTCCTTTTCCTTACTATCGTCATTTTCCCTTTTTTTGTGTGTTTGTCACTCTCTTGTGAACTGCTATTTCCGGGGTGCCCTGATAGTCGAAGCAGACTTTGTGCTGTTGAAGCTAGAGAGGTGAGCAGAGTAAGTCTGATTCCCCGTTTGGACTTCTCACTGTCTCACTCTCACT